ATATATATATATTAATTTCAACTTTTTGATGTTTAATTAATTCTAGATTGTTTGCTAAAATTGAATGAATGACTTTTAACAAAAATAAAGAATGGAATCTTCCTAAACTTGTTGGTTTTAAATAGAAGGTTGTACTTGCTTTCATTTAGGATATGGCCACAGAGAGCAGTTAATTAGTGCCACTCAGTATTAAAATGCTAATGCACATTTTTGTTGCCTTTTATTGACAGCCTATCTCCATTGCCTCATGTCTTGTAATAACACCAGACCACCATCATCAGATGTAGCAAGAGCAAATTGTCAGCCCACTTTTTGTCTCAGACAGACACGACACAGTTCCATCCATCCAGCACTCATCTTTCTTCTACACGGGCCTAGTTACTCAAAAGATTGTTCAGTTTCCTGGAAAATAGATGTCGCCACCCCAGCAATAAAGGGATCACAGCCATTAGTAAGATTAATAGGCCTAGTAATTACGTTAATCATTGCCATGATTCAAATTTTAACACATCAATCATGTGCAGGCACTCACATTCCCACATATGTAAATGAGTTTAAGCCAAAACACCTTATGGGAAATTTATTTTCACACAAACAAAAACCAAATACAGTATGTTTCTGTTATTGATCATCTTTCAGCCTGCAGTCAATTTGGAAAACTGTCAGTCAATACCATATTCGAGTAAAATAGATATTTTCTCTCAATTCTTGTGCAGCTTAACTGAAGTGAATATACTCAGTGAAACTGTTTTTAGAAAATGAAACTATCCATTCCTCACATATTGGAAATAACAAAGAAAGAAGACCAGCTCTGCATCTATATGTAGTCTTCCTTTTTTATCATTATTTCCACTGTGTGCTACCTGTGACAGGTCTGAGCCATGACAACACCTGGATTGGTTTGAATGATCGTACCGTGGAAGACGACTTTCAGTGGACAGACAAGACAGACCTGGTGAGGCCATTTACTGTTTTGTTTTTTTTTTGCAGTTTTTTTTTTTATCTCAGTGGATTTTAAAGTCATTAGAGAAACTGCACAGTGCACTGCAGGGTGGTACGGTGGGCAGTTGGTAGAACTGCCACTTCTCAAGAAGATGGTGGCTGGTTCAAATCCCAGCCTAAGGCCTTTCTGGGTGGAGTTTGCATGTTTACTCCGTGCATGTGTGGGTTTACTCTGGGTACTCCGGTTTCCTTCCACACACCAAAAACATGCATGTTAGGCTGATTGGTAACTTTAAATTGTCTCTAGGTGTGAGAGAAAGAGTGAATGGTCGTTTGTCTCATTTGTCTCTGTGTCCCTGTGATGAACTGGAGACCTGTCCAGGGTGTCCTCTGCCTCTTGCACAGTGACTGATGGATTTGAGCACCAATGATCCCCATGACCTGAAAAGGAAGACGTGGGTAAAAGATAATGGATGGATGGATGGATGGATAGAGAAACTGCACCACTGGGGGGCTTTGTTCTTTAACTAGAACCCCAAACCCTGCTTTTTGGTTCAGTTCCAATCACTAAACATTTATCTCTGTGTTTTTTATGCACTTTCTATAGTACGCAGAGTTGATTTCTTGGGTCTTTGTGTGTGTGTGTGTGCATGTAGCAATATGAAAACTGGCGGGAAAATCAACCGGACAACTTCTTTGCTGGCGGTGAGGACTGTGTGGTCATGATCGCTCGTGAAAACGGCAAATGGAATGATGTACCCTGCAACTACAACCTGCCCTATGTCTGCAAGAAAGGAACAGGTGAGATGTGAGAAAAAAAACCGTAAGGTCCAAAAATGTAAAAGTAATAGAAATAAACTTGAGAAAAAAAAAGGAAAGTTTTAAAAGCAAACAAAAAGTGAGATAGAATAATGGGGACTGAAAATTTAGACCAAAGGAAAAAGCTAAACTCCCATTGTTTGAAAAAGCCTTTAAAGAAAAAATCTAAAGAAACTTGAGCTTTTTTTTTTGTTGTTGTTGAAATCCATTTACAAGTCAGGAAGCTGACATTGTTTAAATAACAGAAGTATCTTAAGGTGAATTTAAAACCCCTGACTGTTTCATATATCACATTATAAATGTGTCCCAAGAGAGGAAGAGATTAACACCAAGTCTTTTCAATCAGGGTACATTCAGCTCTTCAAAGTCACACTTGTTCCTTCTTTCTCATCGTCAGCTTACATGGACTGAGAGAGTTTTCCATTTGCTGCTCTGTAGCCATACCCAAATGTTCTGCAAGAGTGAAGTGAAACAGAGGTCTATCTCAGGGCCTTCTGTTCTGTATAGTTTAGATGTCTCCCTGCTCCAACACACCTAATTTAAATTATTGAATTATGCACTCGATGTGTCGTCAAATTCTGCAGAAGCCTATTAATGACCAGCAGGGAATATCTAAGGCATGTAGGACAGTGGGCCCGGAGGACCAGGGGGTTAGAGAGCACATCTTGAGGCAAATAGTCTACAGCAGAGGAGGGAAAAGCAAAACTTTTTGGACTGGTTAGCACCTAAAGTTTGCTGCAGACACTTGTCATATTTCTATCCCCTGTTGCAGCTGGCCCTGCCACTGCTTGCTCCTCTGAGAGCCTATTAGAGCTTATTTTTGTTTCCTGCTTGCATACAGGTCAGGCTTATGTCCAATGGTAAGAAGACGAGCAATATAATGGCTAGGTGGAGTTTAACATACTGGTGTATGGAAATGTAAACACTGGGACACAAAAGAAACTGGTGGCTGAATTGTGAAACATAACCCCAGAGCTCTGAATAAGTTAAAAGCCACATTCATTAAAACAGGTCATCACTATCAAGAGTTACATTTTGGAATTTTAAACAGAATAAGCAGTTCCCCAGTTAGAGAAGCATTTTTCTTTTGTAAATTTTTAAGCAGTAGGACATTCTCATGTCAAATTAAACTTGAGCAATGCAAATACGAAAGTATGATCCTTATCAATGCAGTCAACAATCAGTATATGCAACTCTCAGGCCTAAACAGATGATTGGGAGCAATTCAGGTAGGCAGTGAACACAGAAAAGTCTCTGGAGGAAAGATGTTGGATCATTATTAAACCTCAGACTTTTTGGACTGTGACAGAAGAGGACAAGTCGACAGAGTCATGGAGTGACCAAACATGTCTAATATGGTATAATATGAGGAAAAATGTCCAATTTGTTTTATTAATGTGTTTCCCTTTTTAGGGGAAAAAGCAAGAACAAAAAGACATCAGCCAAATTATTTAACAAACGTATCTTCCCTCAGATGTTTATCAAAAGCTCAACAATGAGGAGGAAATATGATGCCAGCAGTAAATTATTGCAAGATTCTGCAAGAAATCCTTGTTTTCAGTATTCTGCTCTGCATCTGCAGAGGTTAAATGTCCATGGCAGATGACGAAATATTTGTAAATGTTATATTTATTGAGCATTCTTTACATTTTATTTTATCATTTCACAGAAGAGAAATCATTCAACAGATCGGTAAAGTTTATCTCTAAATCTGTTCCAGTAAAGGGTCTTAAAGTAAAACAAAACAACTCTATAGTCTTTCTGATAGTCTGTATTATAGTTTAAGCAAAATATGTCTGCTTTACAGAAGGGTGAACATTAAATTTATTGTCCAGAGTAACCACTCTGTGGCAGTCCTGCTCTATTTCTGTATTAAATGGCACTACTTCCATCTTAAGCAAGGTATTGCACCCCCTCTGATGCACCCTGTCACAAGTTCCCATCATCCAGTCCACCTCTGATCTCAATCTGCTGCAATCATCAGCATCTTTTCATCTTCTTCCTGCTCCCTCATCAGCCTCTTTTCCCTGTGTACTGTCTCGTCCTATCACTGGAGTTTATTAGCGCCACGCTAACAGTTACTCGCACGCCAAATTATAACTTAGTATCTGTAAAAATTGACTGTTATGTAATATTGCTATCTGTTAATGTGATTTAGCTATTTAGATATGTATCCTGTGACTGTTATCTGAGAGTTTCATTAAAATTCATGCACTGGTTCATGAGATATTTTGCTATCGCTAGAAAACAAATCAACGTACACACAGACATGGGCGAGGACAGCATTGCTCTTTTTTGTTTGTTGGCAATTTACCCTTTATTTATCCAAGTAGTCTCATTGAGCCACGAGAACTCATTTTCAAGAGAGACCTGTTTAGGGAGCAGAGGGTGGGGGTTAAGGGCCTTGCTCAGAGGCCCAGAGTGGGGCGAATGAGGGTGGAGGAAGGTGTGAGTGTTCCACCTTTTGCACCCACATTTTGATGTTGACGGTACCGGGAGTTGAACCTACGACTTTCCGATCACAGGCCCATCTTCTAACTTCTGCACCAGCACTCCCCAAAGAATACATTTTTGAAATTTTAAAGTTGAAAGCATAGCTACACAGCTGAAACTTATATATATATATATATATATATATATATATATATATATATATATA